GTGAAAAAGACAAAGAGTGAATACCGTAAAAACACAATCCAGAGCAGAAGAGGAAACTGGCAAAAGAAGGCTCTCCATGGACAGTTCCTGGGAAAAATTGAAAGCCAAATTGACAAAGAAAAAACATGGCTGTGGCTCACAAATGGAACTTTGAAAAAGGAGACGGAGGGCCTGATTCTGGCAGCCCAAGAACAAGCCATTAGAACTAATGCCATCAAAGCCAGAAGTGAAAAGTTGACGACAGATCCCAAATGTAGACTCTGCAAGGAAGCAGATGAAACAATAGATCACATCCTCAGCTGCTGCAAGAAGATCACGCAGACAGACTACAAGCAGAAGCATAATACCATTGCTCAGATGATTCATTGGAACCTTTGCCACAAATATCATCTGCCTGTGACAAAGAACTGGTGGGATCACAAGCCGGAAAAAGTTACAGAAAAAGAACACGTCAAACTCCTCTGGGACTTCCGAATTCAAACAGACAGAGTTTTGGAGCACAATACTCCTGACCTCATGATCATGTTAAAAAACAAAGTATGGATTGTCGATGTTGCAATCCCAGGTGACAGCAGGATTGAAGAGAAACACCTGGAAAAGCTGACACAATGAGGATTTAAAGATTGAAGTGGTGATCGGCACACTGGGTGCAGTGCCTAAAGACCTTGGCCTGCACTTAAACACAATTGGCACTGACAAAATTACCATCTGCCAGCTGCAGAAGGCCACCTTATTGGGATCTGCAAGCATTATTTGCTGATACATCACACAGTCCAACGTGTGATCCAATACAATAGCCAGCAAATTGATCTTGTCTGTTGTGGATTCATCTTGTTGTGTTAATAATAATAATAATAATAATAATAATAATAATAATAATAATAATAATGCTTTATTTGTATCCCACCCACTCTCCCAAAATGGACTCGGGCGGCTTACAACAAAAATACAATCTACATAGTAATAATCGGCAACCAAAGCAACACAGTCATTTACACTAATCTGTTGTGCATTGTTTACAGTTGACACTGCAGAAGATGCTTCAGCTATACTTCATAAAGAGAAAAATCAGCCTTTTTAACAAGGCTTGCAAATGCAGATTTATTATCTGTAAATGCTTGGTTTTTATGCCCATTTATATCCTTATATACTTGAGGTCACATACAAATTTCTCAGACCGAAAAGGGTCATGACTGGAAAAGTTTCAAGAAGCCCTGGCCTAGGTAAGGACAGTCTTCTTGCTTCTCAGACTGTATATCTTCAGTGTAGAATTGCACTCTCAATTCTCTTTTGTGTGAGCACATTCATTTATATATAAATATATTCATAGATATGCATGTATGTTTTCACATAGAATACATATATGTGCACGAGTATGTTTTAGAGGCCCCCTGGTGGCGCAGCAGGTTAAACTACTGAGCTGCTGAACTTGCTGACCAAAAGGTTGATGGTTTGAATCCTGGGAGTGGGGTGAGCTCCTGCTGTTAGGCCAGCTTTTGCCAATCTAATAGTTCAAAAACATGCGAATGTGAGTAAATCAATAGATACTACCTTGGCGGGAAGGCAACGGTGCTCTGTGCAGTCATGCCGCCCACAAGACCTGGGAGGTGTCCGTGGACAATGCTGGCTCTTCGGCTTAAAAATGGAGATGCGCACCACCCCCCAGAGTTGGACATGACTAGACTTAATGTCAGCGGAAAACCTTTACCTTATGTTTTAGAACCATGATTCAAAACCTCACATAAAAAAGATTTTCCTTATTTAAACAGATATAACTGTGGTAGAAAACATTTGGCCTTGATATGATAAACAGTTGCCATTCTAATCTTATGTGGATAGCATGGACAAAGAGAATTATTGAAACATTCATCTTGATTTAGGAGTACAATTAAGGGTAGGCACAGAAGACGCGTACAAAAAAGCAGAGCTGTAAGCAAAGCGAAAAAGCATTACCCAATCCATGCAACCAACCAATTGTGCATTTTAATAATTCAGTGATTTTGCACTTAATTGGCTGGAAAGTAAATAATATTTGCATAAGTGTAGTATACCATTATTTATCTACTGCAGAAACTGGGGTTTAATTAAGACAAAAGTCCATGGACATTTAAGCAATTAATGAAATATATTGCCTTGCTGAAACCAGTCAGGTAGTGAAAGTTAGCATCCCTTAAGGCACAAGTAGATTTATGCTGTAATATAAAATAGCAGCTATTAAAGACTATATTTTAGTTTCAGGAGGTAGAGGGGCCATTTTTTTTGCCAAGGAAGCAAAGATTTCTGAGCCAAAATAATTTATTCAGATTAATGGGTTTCATTTGCATAAACAATCTCTATGTGCATCTACTCTAAGAATTTCTGAAAAATGCCGAGTTTGTTAGTGTATTATATAACATGTCTGGTAAGACTGAAATATTAGCCCTAAAGTATCTTCCGAGGTGGGACACGAAACTAGGATGAGCTCTGAATCTGAGCAGGAAGGCAATGTAGGGAATGCTGTGGATGTAGCACATTTTGATTTCCGCAATGACTTCAACAAAGTCCCCCATGATCTTCTTGCAAACAAACTGGTCAAACATGGGCTATGCAGTGCTACTGTTAGGTGGATCTGTAATTGGTTAAGCAACCAAACCCAAAGGGTGCTCACGAATGGTTCCACTTCATTCTGGAAAATGTGACTAGTGGAGTACCACAGGGTTCAGTCCTGGGCTAAGTACAGTTTAACACTTTTATTAACAACTTAGATAAAAGTTTAGAAGACATGCTTATCAAGTTTGCAGATGACAACAAATTAGGAGGGATAGCTAATACTCCAGAGAACAGGATTAGGATTCAAAATGACCATAACAAATTAGAGAGCTGGGCCAAAACTAACAAAATGAATTTTAATAAGGACAAATGTACAATACTCCACTTAGGCAGAAAAAATGAAATGCAAAAATACAGATTGGGTGATGCCTGGCTCTACAACAGTCCATGAGAAAAAGATCTTGGAGTCTTTGTGGATAACAAGTTGAACATGAGCCAACAGTCTGATGCAGCAGCTAAAAAAGCCAGTGGGATTTTGGGCTACTTCAAAAGGAATGTAGTGTCTAGATCAAAGGAAGTCATGGTGTCATTGTATTCTGCTTTGGTTAGACCTCACTTGAAATACTGTGTCCAATTCTGGGCACCAAAGTTCAAAATAGATATTAACAATCTGGAAGATATCCAAAGGAGAGCAACTAAAATGATCAAAGGTCTGTAGACCAGGCCCTATGAGGAGCATCTTGAAGAACTGGGCATGTTTAGCCTGCAGAAGAGAAGGTTGAGAGAGCCATATATAAAAAGGTATTTTCTGCTGCCCTGGAAACTAGGACTTGGAGCAATGAGTTCAAATTACAGGAGAAGAGAGTCTATCTGAACATGAGGAAGAACTTCCTGACTGCAAGAGCTGTTCAGCAGAGGAACTCTCTGCCTCAGAGTGTGGTGGAGGCTCCTTTGGAAGCTTTTAAACAGAGGCTGGATGGCCATCTGTTTGGGGTACTTCAGTTGTGCTTTTCCTGCATGGCAGGGAGTTGCACTATATGGCCCATGTGGTGTTTTCCAACTGTGTTATTCTATGATTCTATGATTCTAAGTTTTGTGTGACTTGCACAGAATGGACACACAAATTGTTTGGTGCTACTTCCTCAAAGATGTCCTCAAAGTCTGGCACTTTGGCAATAGCATCAGATGGGGTGGCCCAGGGCACATGAAAATGCAGTTTCGGCATTTGTAGCATAGAATAGCACAAATGGTTGAGTTCAGCAGAACAATACAAGCAATGGGCAAGATATCTGCTATTGTCAAAATTGAAACCATCTGAATTCTTGTTTTTAACCAACAGAAATGCTTCTAGAGTTGAGCTGGTCCTTCACACAGCACCAAGAACATCTTTTCTCGAACCCTTTCCATATCTTTGGCTTCTCCAAACCCTTTTCAGATCTATCAATTACACTATTCCTGGCCGGTCCGAACTCAGGCAAGCCTATTTTTTACAGCTAAGCTTCTGGTTTTGTTGTTGTTTATTCATTCAGTTGCTTCCAACTTTTCATGACCTCATGGACCAGCCCACGCCAGACCTCCCTGTCAGCCGTCACCACCCCCAGCTCCTTCAAGGTCAAGCCAGTCACTTCAAGGATACCATCCATCCATCTTGCCTTTGGTTGGCCCCTCTTCCTTTTTCCTTCCATTTTTCCCCAACATCATTGTCTTCTCCAAGCTTTCCTGTCTTCTCATTATGTGGCCAAAGTACTTCATTTTTGCCTCTAATATCCTTCCCTCCAGTTAGCAACTGGGCATTATTTCTTGGAGTATGGACTGGTTTTATCTCCTTGTGAGATCTCTCTCTCTCTCTCTCTCTCTCTCTCTCTCTAACAATACTCCATAAGTGATGATTAGCTGGCTCAACCCAGGTTTTCCCAGCTTATTGTTTTACAGTTGGCAATGTGTGGTGCATAAGAGCTGATCATTACTTTAAATGTAATATAGGGGCTTTTAGAAAATAAGCATGAATGGAAGATAATGGTATATTAGAAACTCTGCCCCCAGAACAGAGGGACCTCCGGTGTTTTATCATTTGCAGAGCTAACAACCATAATCAGGAAGGCTGCTGACCAGATGTCCGATTCAGTTGTAACTTTGGCTTGCAATGTTTCCTGTAACATTTAATGCCACCCGGACTTTAGCTGATGGCCATAAATATATTTCCAGATTTTCCACCTTAATTGTTGTTTGAACAGCTGAACTATGTAATCCATTCTGCATAAGGAAATGATTGTGATGATAGAAGATAATTATGTTAGTACCTTAAAAGTTTGGTCGGCTGATTAAAAAGGTCTCTAGCAAATTCTTGCAGTCAGCTCCTAGTAACACGTCTTCCTTCAAACAAAATGAAACAACCTTGTATTTGTTTGATGCCAGAATTCCAAAAAACGATAGCTGTCACACTCAAGTATACACATATCTATAATTTTTAGGAGACCAAAGGACCAGAAGCCTCCTACGCCCCTGATCTCATCTCCACAGTGGATGCATTTGGCGGTTGTAGCATGTGGCGACCGGCTGGAAGAAACTCTCATCATGCTGAAGTCAGCAATTCTGTTCAGCAACAGGAAGATCAAATTTCACATCTTTGCAGAGAACTCCCTGAAGCCTGAATTTGAAAGGAAAGTGAGTCTCCTTTAGCAATTTATTTTGGGGGGTGGGGGGTGGGATGGGGGGTCTGCTAAGAACAGGAAGTCCAACTGCGCGTAGATCTTTGATTGTAAAGCTTTAGATTCACTTGGAAAGGCTTGGAGTGCCATATGTTAATGAGTTGATAAACACTTTCTAGAAGCAGGTCCTGGCTAAAGCTCAGCTTTAGAAAGGGATTTGCCTTGATTTGTTTGTCTTTGCAACAATAGCCTTGCTACAAAAGTTTCCTTTTTGGAGATCTAATCTCTTATTTTCTTCCTTGTGCTTTACAGTTGCAAGAATGGCCTCCCTCATTCACAAAGAAGTTTGAATATCATGTCTACCCAATCTCCTTTTCTGTTGGAAATGCTCAGGAATGGAAAAAATTATTCAAGCCATGTGCTGCCCAGCGTCTCTTTCTTCCGGTAAGGTGATTGGATCCCCCTAAATATAAGGAGTCTGATCAGATTGAAATGGGTTTAGAAAATTAGTCATGCTAAATGCCTAAATACGGTAATACTAAAGATGGCCATTGCTGATGTAATCTTCCTGACTTTATACGACTTGGCTAGTTTCTGTTTCTTGGCTTTCTGTAACGTTTGGCTTCGATGACGTCCAAGACCCTGTGCTATTATATTAGATACATGTGTTTTGGGAGTCTTCCTCTTTAAGAATTGGCTTCTTTCCCTCTTTAATTTGGGTGAGACAGTTTGCTAGCCTTGTGTGTGTTTCAAGACCAAAAGAATGAGGGAGGGGATAAGGAGAGGTGGCAATCTTTTAGATATTCAGGTTTTTTTTGCCCAGAATATCTGCCCTATGGGAGGTTTCTCTCATATCCCCGCATGAGAAGCTGGAGCTGACACACAGGAGCTCACCCTGCTCCCTGGATTTGAACCACTGACCTTTTAGCGCAAGAGTTTAACCCATTGCACCACTGGGGGCTCCGTGTTATACAGCATCCCTTGCTTCCTGGAAGGAGGTAAACGTATGTTCTTCTGCTTCCAGCATCCTTTACCATGGACTAATCAGTCCAGGGATATGCAGGCTTGGAACACAGCAACTTTTGGGGGCTGCATGATTCTCATCTTCCCTTAACTAAACATTATAATATAATACTCTTTAAATGATTTAGCACATACAGAATAACAGTTTCTGGTACCATGTAATTTTATTTTGGAATTCTTTGGAGAACTCTTTCAAAAGATTATTTATTATTTATTTATTTATTTATTTATTTTGCTTATTTAACATTATTTAACATTTCTTTACCCTTCTTTTTAGTTAGGAGTACCTCGGTGTCACCTTAGATCGAATACTAACATATAGGAAACACTTCATGAACACAAAGCACAAAGTAGCTGCACACAGTAACATCCTGCAGAAACTTACTAGCAGCACATGGGGTGCAGACCCAAAATCAGCCCTGGGCTTGTCTTACTCAACTATATTAGCCCTGTTTGGCAGAAGTTTGCCCACGCAAAGCAGGTGAATATAACATTGAACAAAACATGAATAATAATCATAGGATGTCTTAAACCTACACCTGTTGATAAACTCAACAAGTTAGCAGGCATTGCCCCCCGATGTGCTATGGGAAGTTGCTTCTAACTGTGAGAGAAATAAGGTTGAACACTGTGAAAGCCATCCACTGCATGGCTGTCTGTCTCCTCCCAGTAAACTCAAATCAAGGAAAAGCTTTATGAGAACTACCACTCCTCTTGGCGTCCCCCCAGCAACAGCAAGAGTATCCCTCTCGGCAGCTAAACCAGGAAATCCCAATTGGATGGCCCCCCACGAGAGTCTTCCTCCAGGGGCAAACCAAGAATGGGCATCTTGGAAGTCCCTGAACAGACTCAGAAGCGGAGTGGGCAGATCAAAAGACAATCTGACAAAATGGCACTACCTAAAAGAATCCCACACCTGTGTGAGTGTGGAGCAGAACAGGATGTGGAGGATGTAACATGAGGATGTAACACGAGCATCTGCTTGTCCGGTTTTGATGGATTCATTTCAATTGGTTCAAACCGAGGATGTGGACAAGGTGCTTGGAGGAATGAGAGCTACCACATGCATCCTAGACCCCTGCCCATCCTGGCTTCTAAAGGAGGCCAGAGGGGGATTGGCCGAGTGGGTTAAGGTGGTGGTTAATGCCTCCCTTCGGGAAGGCAAAATTCCAGCCAGCTTAAAGCAAGCTGATAAAACCGCTGTTGAAGAAACCATCACTGGACCCCACTCAATTCGTCAACTATCGGCCTGTTTCCAATCTCCCCTTTTTGGGCAAAGTCTTGGAACGTGTGGTGGCCTCACAACTCCAGGTATTCTTGGTAGACACGGATTATATAGACCCGGCACAGTCTGGCTTTAGGCCGGGACATGGTACCGAGACAGCCTTGGTCGCCTTAGTGGATGATCTGCGCCGGGAGCTCGACAGGGGGAGTGTGTCCCTGTTGGTGCTGCTGGACCTCTCAGCGGCCTTCGATACCGTCGACCACGGTATCCTTCTGGGACGCCTCGCGGGGATGGGTCTTGGAGGTACTGTTCTGCAGTGGCTCCTCATTCCTCGAGGGCCGGTCTCAGAAGGTGTTACTGGGAGACTCCTGTTCAACCCCACAACCATTGTCTTGTGGAGTTCCTCAGGGTTCAATACTGTCTCCCATGTTGTTTAACATCTACATGAAGCCGCTGGGTGAGATCATCCGGAGTTTCGGAGTGCGGTGTCATCTGTACGCAGATGATGTCCAACTCTGTCACTCCTTTCCACCTGCTACTAAGGAGGCTGTCGAGGTCCTGAACCGGTGCTTGGCCGCTGTGACGGTCTGGATGAGGGTGAACAAATTGAAATTGAATCCAGACAAGACAGAGGTACTCCTGGTCAGTCGTAAGGCCGAACAGGGTATAGGGTTACAGCCTGTGTTAGACGGGGTCGCACTCCCCCTGAAGACGCAGGTTCGCAGTTGGGTGTGATCCTGGACTCATCGCTGAGCCTGGAACCCCAGGTTTCGGCGGTGACCAGGGGAGCATTCGCACAGTTAAAACTTGTGCGCCAACTGCGACCGTACCTTGGGAAGCCTGACTTGGCCACGGTAGTCCACGCTCTGGTTACATCCCGTCTTGACTACTGCAACGCTCTCTACGTGGGGTTGCCCTTGAAGACGGCTCGGAAGCTCCAATTAGTCCAACGGGCGGCAGCCATGATACTAACGGGAGCGGAGCGCAGGGAGCATACAACTCCTCTGCTGCACCAGCTCCACTGGCTGCCGATCTGCTACCGGGCCCAATTCAAGGTGCTGGCGTTGGCCTTTAAAGCCCTAAACGGTTCTGGCCCAACTTACCTATCCGAACGTATCTCGGCCTATCAGCCCACCAGGACCCTAAGATCTTCTGGGGAGGCCCTGCTCTCCTATCCCGCCTGCTTCACAGGTGCGGCTGGCGGGAACGAGAGACAGGGCCTTTTCTGTGGTGGCCCCTCGGCTTTGGAACGCCCTCCCCATAGAGGTAAGATTAGCCCCCTCGCTGATGGTGTTTCGGAAAAGATTGAAGACATGGATGTTCAAACAAGCATTCGGTTAATCCGGTGCAAAGAAATTGATGATTAAGGACTGGTAATCATGGACGATGAAATTGGACTACGATTCTAGTTAAGAGATGCATTGGATTGTATTGGTGGCCCAATACTATGTATTGTATGTTGTTTTTATGCTTTTTAAACTGAATATTGTTGATTGTTTGTAGAGTTGTAAACCGCGTTGAGTCGCCAATTTTGGCTGAGAAACGGCGGTATACAAGCGCAGTAATAATAATAATAATAATAAGAAGAAGAAGAACAGACAACTCTGCATCTGTATGCTTGTCCACTATGCCCTGCCTCATGTACAGAGGAAGAATTGTTGGAGGCTACAGACAGTGCGGATGCTGTTGCCTGTTTTTAGTCAAAAAATATTTAGCCACTTGTGCTCCTTCTATTTTTATCAGTTTTATAGTAATTTATGCAATGCTTTTGATATGAAATAAATAAAAGTTAGGAGGTTTCCCAGTGAGCGTTATATACAATCAGTAAAACAAGACAGCACCTTCCTGCAAGTTTACAGTCTCAAACATGATACTGAAAGAAAATATGATGAGAATTAATTTGTTTTTCATTTGTTAATTAAAATACATTTATATCACACCCCGAATCAGTGAATTTTAGGGTATTGTACAATGAAACAAGATTAGAATGAGGAGAATTTTAAAAGGCTGAAAACATAGTGAAGCATTTAGCACTTAAAATGAGGCAATTCAAAACTACTTACAACAATTTAAAACAATTGAATGCATAACACATGTGCAAATTGGAAAAAATCAATTAGGGATTAAAGCAAAACCAGAATCATTCTTTACGTTAAATGGTAGCTCTTATGCTGGCCAACAGGAATGGAAAGAGTTCCAGAAAAGGAGTCCAATGGAGATGTATTTTCAAAAAACTTGAAAGAATGGGCCTGCATCCCATGCACATCTGTTCCATCTTAGATAAATTCGCCCAGAGAAACAACACATAGATGAGAGGGAATCTTCTCATTTATGTCATTTACCAGAGCCTTGAGTTACATTAGATGTCTGAGTGTTTCCAGCTTTATGGATTGAAGATTGGATTATCTTTCCTCTTTGATGCTGTGAAACAAGGGAAGTTAAGCCTGTTGAACATCACACCTCTGGTAAAAGAGCCCACCTTTTGATCAAATCTTGGAAACCCATATTACAGGACTATATGTGTTCCTACAGAGCTACAAGCTTCTTAACTTAAATCCCCCTTGGTCAAATTTGGTTAGCTGGATATAGAACTTGACTAATAATACTGAAAACTTTCTCCTTTAATTAAAAAGACCTAAAGTGAAGTGCAATACTTATCCAACAACACTCGGCTAGATTCAGAGTTTGGTTCATGCTGTATGATGATAGAAAAAGCTGGTACTGAAAGTAGTAGTTTGTGCCTTTATGTTTCCTGTCGATTTATGGAGATACCATAAAATTCATAGGGTTTGCTGGGGCTATCAATACTGACGTGGTGATTTGTCACTGACATTGAATGTGTCACGGTAAATAACATTACTTATCTCATTGGTAATACCCTAGATTCCACTGCAGCCTGTGTGTGCATGCACATATTGGAAAAACTGAAAATAACTGCAAAGACTGTCCCAGTGGTGATCAGCACACTGGGTGCAGTGCCTAAAGACCTTGATCTGCACTTAAAAACAATTGCTGCTGACAAAAATACCATCTGTCAGCACCAAAAGGCCATCCTACTCGGATCTGCACACATTATTCACCAATACATCACACAGTCCTAGACAGTTGGAGATGTTCAATGTGTGATTGAATACAAAAACTAGCATAGTGATATTGTTTTCTATATATTACTCTTGTTGTATATCTAATAATAATGATGATAATGATGATGACAAACATTTTTATAATAATTACAAAATCATAAAAACTTTGAACTGCAGTGTAAATCCAAAAATATGTAGCAAAAGTGTCACCATTTTTCTAAGAAGTGTAACACATATTTTCTTAATTGAAGGTTTTCTGACGTACGTAAAACACATCTGCATGGAATTGCAACCTATGCCACCACTAGTGCCATATGGCTAATCCTAAAAGCTGCAGGTAATAAATAGAAATGCCACTCTATGCCCCTGGAAAATAGGTTGTATTTGAAGTATTTATACAGTGCAGAGTATCTGTCTATAAGAAGTGTGGCCTTGTTTATGTTAAACCCAATCTGTGTTTTCATCATTTTGGAGAGTAAGATTGTGACCACATAATGCCCCGTGCTAGGAGATATTCTATTAAATTTGAGATTCAGATGTTGAGACCTTGAGGCTAGTCAAAGGACAAATCAATTTAGACTGTCAGTCAGGAATATAGTCTCTTGAATATGTCCCATGAGGGCATTTTTAATGTTGTAAATGTAACCATATATCTTAATACATGCTAGTTTTGTAGCCCGTTTCAAAGTGTACGTGGTTTTCTGATTATATTTGTATCCCTTCCTTCTTACAAGGCCCCTAGGTGGGATACAGTTGCAGGGATGCAGAAAAAGTAAGAAATATGCTCAAAAGCCATTTAGTGACATTTATGGTGTCTCAACCTGGGTTTCTCATCCAAAACTCCAACTTGCTATCCTAGCTGTGTAATATGAAAATAATCTGGGAAAGAAGACAGGCATGCATGATAATAATAAAGTTGAAAAGGAAATAGACCTTCTACTACTTTTGAAGAAATATTGAGATTTATTATACTGTCTTTTAAAAAATAATGTGAAATTGTGAATGGATATGTATGAAGCCGATGGCCACAAGAGGGCATAAGCTGAATAAAAATAGCACGACTCTCCCTTTTGCTATACAGACATTGAAATAAGTAGTAAATTCATAGACTCAGAATTGGAAGAGACCACGGTGGCATCCAATTCAACGCCTTAATTGACGATAGAGCTTATTGCAGTTTTGTCCCAACATCTCAAAAGTTGACAAGACTGAGGGAGAGCTACCATTCAGACATAAGAGTTCTTCCAGAACAGGCAGAAGGTCTCAGGTTTAGGAGAAAAGCTGGAAAGGACTTGTGCCTAAGACCTTGGAGGCCCAATTACAATTGGAGAAAAGAGCACAAAGGCCTGAATTGGTCTAACTGCATCACCATTTATTTATTTATTTACTGACAGTATTTCTGTCCCGCCTTTCTCAGCCCGAAGGCGGCTCAAGGCGGCGTACAATTTCGCAGCAATTTGATGCCACAATATACACAAATACCAATTAAAAACATTTAACATAACATAGTAAAAATCCATATAAAAGCATTGAAACTATAATCATCTATGTCTTCCAGTTAAAACTCATTTTCCATTAGCATCGTTTAAGTCGTTCCATGTTTGCTCTTTCATAGTTCCGTGTTTATCTATCACGCTGCATTTCCAAAAGCTTGTTCGAAGAGCCAGGTTTTTACTTTTTTCTGGAAAGTCAGGTGGGAGGGGGCTGATCTAATATCCCTAGGAGGGGAGTTCCACAGCCGAGGGGCCACCACTGAGAAGGCCCTGTCTCCACCAACCGCACCTGCTAATAAAAACATTTTTGTCATATGCTAATAAAAACATTGTTGCTAATTCTTAGTATTGTTTCTCCATGTCTTGCTGTTGTTGTGTGCCTTCAAGATTTTTCCAGCTTATGGTGATTATAATAAGAACATATCACAGGAGTTTATGGGCAAGATTTGTTCAGTGGAGGGATGCTTTGCTCTGAAGATAAGAGAGTATCATTTGTCCAAGGTCACTCAGTAGATTTCTGTTACCAAGTTGGAATTCAAACTCTGGTCTACAGAGGTATAGCCAATGTTCAAACCACTGTTTCATGCTGGATCCTTTACTACACCCCATTAATCATTCACATGTATCTAAATTTACTTGTATTGGGATTTTACAGTAAAAGTACCTATGTCAAAACTTTGTGGAGAATGGAATGAGAGTGGTTTGTGTTTATGCGTGCATATTTGTGGTGAAAGTTTCAAACCTTGATTGCTGCTAATGGATGTTTAAGAGTGACTGATTACCTAAGTCAAATGTTTCGGAGCCACTGGCTCTTGCATAATGCTGCCCATATTATCATTCTGAATAAGACAGACAGTACTAGATGTGTTTAGACAACTTGATTGCATTAGCAAACACACAGGGAGGAAGACATCTGCACATTCCTTAGATCACTCACTCATTGCATAAATAGCAAGATATATTTTCTTTGTCCTGAGGTCTATTGTCAACAGAACTCAGCAAGCGTGCATTGCTGCTTGTTAGCTCTGATAGATAAAATCTGTGCTTAACATGCCTTCCGAGACGCAAACTGGAGCTGAGATACTTGGAAGAGACTAGGGCCCATCCAGACAGTACCTTTATCCCAGGAGCTCCTGCAGCAATCAGGAAAGTGGCCAGATGCCATTCTCTGTAAACTCGAAAATAATTGCAACAAAAAGCAAAAAGTGCGAGATTTGCAGATGCAGGAATATCCTGGTTCTGAGCGGGAAATCCGCATCTTGGGCTGCCTGTATATCCCTGCCCATCTATCTCAGCACTCAGAAAGCATAGCATTTTTTATCTTAGTTTCTTCCCGGGTTCCAAATGTCTGCTCCTGATTAGTCAGTTCTGCCAGATGTCCTGCGGTGACCATCTTGGGAGCTGTAAAATCCCAGGTCAAAGCAGGAAGTATGGACTATGGGGTCAGACATCCCAGAACCAATAGGTCTGTGTGCGGACCTGCTTGCAGGTCCTGGGTTTTTTTTGTTCCTAATGAAAGTGCGCAGTTAGGTGCTGTCTGGAACCGCCCTGAGAATGGCAGTGAGGCTGAAACGTTTAATTAACGTTCTCCTTCAGAACTTCAGTTGACATTGTGGATTCTAGCCAACCAGCAAGGATCTTATTTAGTTATAATTAATTCTTAGGACTAGATTACCAGTAGTTGAGGAAAGACCACAGTTATAAGAAGGCCCTCTCAATATTTGAAAGTGTCTGTTACGTTGTCTCTTTCCACATGATGGCCTTATGTGAACAATTGATGACATAATCACTGTAGGATGAGGCACTTGCTTAATTATATGAGTTGAGCCATATTACTTTGTTGTTGTTGTTGTTGTTGTTATTATTGATCTTGTTCTTCAGATTTTTACTTCTAAAACTCATTTATAGTCTCTTTTTATTTTATTGATTTTCCATTTGTTGCCTTTCTTTTGGAGGCGCAATTTCAACAGCACGATATGATTATTTTAAAGAAAAATAATGAATATTTCTGCTGGCATACTGCTTTTTAGTTCTTTCTTTCTCATTACCTCCCCTTGACAACTTTTTTGGATGCTACAGTGTTGTTAGTTTCCTTTTTTCTTATTGAGTATGAGGTATGTACATTATACATCTTCTGATATAGAATATACTGGGCTACAGGTTATATGAAAGAATATGTCTGGGTGTTGTCTTGCTCTAATCTTTCAACTTTGGTTTTCCTGTCTCTCTTTGTGCATGTTACTATGAATACATTCTGTGTTTCCGACCCCACATCCACACTTTTCTATTCCATCTCCAAAGATGATTTTAAAAGATGTGGACTCCCTTCTGTATGTGGACACAGATGTCCTCTTCTTACGACCCATTGATGACATCTGGAGGTTTCTGACAGCATTCAATTCTACACAGCTGGCTGCAATGGCACCAGAACATGAAATACCAAAGATTGGCTGGTACAGTCGCTTTGCTCGCCACCCATATTATGGAATAACTGGAGTAAATTCCGGTGTCATGCTGATGAATTTAACCCGTATAAGAAATGCCCAGTTTAAGGTAAGATGTGATTTTTTGGAAGGAATAAAAACTTCAGGATCATGTTTGGCTCCTTTCTTTCTGCATGCCCATATAGAACTTTTTTAGTCCAAATGCTTTGGTTTATTTTTTATATAGCTGACCATGTATGGCTGGAACCCCTACCCCAACTTGGCCCCACAGTTCCAACCTTTGTGCTTTTGTCACTCCCCATTGCTGTCTTACCTTCAGTGTCTGCCCTTTAGTTTGGTGTTTGGGCTTTTAAGGGATCCCGTTTGTGGTGAAATATGTTGACTGTGGGTTGACTGTTGACTGTGGGTTGATCAGTGGGTTCGGTGTAATAAAGCATTGTTGGTTGTCCTTTATCACTTATTAAAATAATAATTTTAGAATGATATATAAAATCAAACTTTTTTGTTGTTGTTGTTATCATGATTTATTTATATAGCTTTATCAAGAGTACAAGGAAAAAATGTATTATATTACAATTACATTAAATTCCCTGAACTTTTTTCTCATTAACAATTCCCCAAACCTTTTAAGATCTTATCCATTCCCATTTTCCTAATCTGTCTCTCACCAGCCTAACTCAGTCTCAGAGAATCCTTTAGCTTGTGGCCTTTGCCTCTCATAGGCCTCCCTTCACAACTTGAGCTGTGCGATTGTCTGGCTCTACCCAGGCTTACCCAGCCTCTAACTTAATACCATGAGACATTCTGAAAGTTTTGTCAAAGGCTTTCATGGCTGGAATCACTGGGTTGCTGTGAGTTTTGCGGGCTCTATGGCCATGTTCCAGAAGAGGTCTATCCTGGTGTTTCACCAACATGTATGGCAGACATCTTCAGAAGTTGTGAGGTCTGCTGGAAACTAGGCAAGTAAGGTTTACATTTCTGTGGAATGTCCATGGTGGGAGAAAGAGCTCTTGTCTGTTTGAGGCAAGTTTGAATGTTGCAATTGGCCACCTTGATTAGCATTGAATGGCCTTGCATTGAATGGCCAGCCAGCATTGAATTGCCAGTGGCTATTGAAGGTGGCCAATTGCACCACTCACACTTGCCTCAAACAGACAAAAGTTCTTTCTCCCACCATGGAGATTCCACAGATATATAATCTTTACTTGCCTAGTTTCCAGCAGACCTTACCACCTCTGAAGGTGCCTGCCATACATGTTGGTGAAACGTCAGGAGAGACTGGCCATACAGCCCGAAAAACTCACAGCAACATAATTCAGAAAGTGGTCTTCTAATAAATGTATATTTTTTACTGAGAGGAATAAATTTTCTAATAGGACTTAGAACATTATAGATAAGTTGACAATGAATGACCGTGCTTTGGGGTGAAAGATTTGTCATTTTAGGTTTCAAGTGCTGCTACAAGTGAGAATATGGTTTGTGTAGCTTTGTGGTCATGATGGATTTTTGCAGACCTGAGAAAGAAGAGGAACTACTCCTCAGACAGTATTTCTGCTAATTCTTGTCCCACCCCCCAAAATGCTTCAAATGTGAACATTGTACTAAGATATATATGGCAGTGGTTCCTATTGCTACATTTTTTCCTATTTTTAATAAATTAAGTACATTTTAAAATTTCATTTCAGAACAGTATGATACCAACAGGCCTGACATGGGAGGAAATGTTATACCCTTTATACCAAAAGTACAAAAACTACATTACTTGGGGAGACCAGGACTTGCTCAATATTATTTTTTCCTTTAACCCAGGTACATGCTGCATTAACTGTATTTGTATATATTACAGACTTTTGTGCATATATAGATTCAAAATGTCATTTGAATGTGTGAAAGTCGTCTGTAGATTTTTCTTTCTCTTTTGAATCTACTGTTTGAATTGCTAGCACTGAAGATGAGAACAGATTCAACATTTTAAGTGTTTGCCCCCTCAAATTGTTCTCCATGGCCATAGTTGTGTGGGGAGCACTTAGTTGCTATGTTACTGGAAGCCACAGACAGAAAAGTGGGAAACAGCCTCTCTTTCTGTGTGGCTAGAGCAGGCATGGACAAACTTTGGGCAAACTTTGTCCCTCTAGGTGTTTTGGACTTCAACTCCCACAATTCTCACAGCTATTAGGAATTATGGGACTTGAAGTCCAAAACACCTGGAGGGCCCAAGTTTGCCTATGCCTGGGCTAGAGCCAAGAACCAAACAGTCTGACCCACCAAGTCAGCTTAGACATAGTTTGTTTATCTAAGCCATGCTTTTAGGGGAATGGCATTTTTTAATATTAAAGTTTCTGTGCTATGAAATTTTTATGCTCCTGGATGTAGCTGTGCCAGAAGAAAGCAAGGGTGAAAATGTATTGGCCTTTAGGTGTGTTCATGGAGCATTAGATTATGGTCCAGTATTGAATCTAAACAATTTGTCTGCATTCTTGTAAGTCTCCTATTCCTCCTGTCTCTAAATTAGCTAAATTGCATAAGCAGAAAAATGATAATAATTAATGTATGTCTGTCTCAACTGTAGTTTTTGCATGGCAGTATTCAGATATAGATGTTCAGATGTAGATTTGTTGCTATATGTTAAGACTCCCTCCCCCTCCATTTTCCATCTGTTCTCCAAATGCGTTTTCCAGAATGTCTCTACCTGTTTCCTTGCCAATGGAACTATCGGCCAGACCACTGTATGTATGGCAGTAACTGTAAAGGAGCAGAGGAGGAAGGCATTTCCATTCTCCATGGGAACAGGGGTGTCTACCATGATGATAAACAGCCTACTTTCAAAGCACTCTTTGAAGTCATACGTGATGTAAGTTTTTGTTTATTTCTTTTTAAGCTGTTGTTCTCTACTGCTATAGTGAAACAGTGGCAAGGAAGGCTTTAGAATACATTAAAGAAATGTCACTCTACCTCTAAAGCTTTAAAGCAGGAAGGCAGCCCACTGGAGAGTGTTGAAGGAAAATCACTCTAGTGCAATTAATGACAGTGATACAGTGGGGAAACTTGTGTCCTAAATACCCTAAATTTATTTATTTACAGTATTTATTTTCCACCCTCCTCACCCCGCAGGGGACTTCGGGCAGATTACAATGTACACATACATGAAAAACATTCAATGCCATTTAGACATACAACATATATAGACAGACACAGAGCCAATTTAACATTCCAGCTTTCCGGTTTCATGAGGGTATGCTTGATTCTGGCTACAGGGCGGAGCTGCTGCTTCACTGTCCACTTGTGGCTCTGAGTCCTTGATGGAATACTTCCGCATCCCTATGTGCACGTTGCTGGAAGGTTTCATGATGTTGTAAATTAGTTAAATTAGCCTCCCCGCATAAAGCGGTACCTAGATTTCCTACTTGATAGATGCAACTGTCTTTCGGGATGCATAGTTCGACAGCAATGGTCAGAAGCTCACTCTGACTTCGCCCTGGCTTCGAACTTATGACCTCTTGGTCAGTAGTGATTTAATGCAGCTGGCTAATAACTAGCTGCACCACAGCCCGGTCCATGGACAAAGCAGGTATGGAAAAACTTCAGCCTACCAGCTATTAGGAATTGTGAGAGTTGAAGTCCAAAACACCTGGAGGGCTGAAGTTTGCCCATGTTTGCCATAAAGGCACCAAGTCCCATCTGATCTTGGAAGCTAAGCAGAGCCAGTTTTGTTTAGTACTTGAATGGGATACTGCCAATGTGTACCTGGTGCTGTAGTCACCAGAAGAAGGATAAGGTAAACCCATTCCTGAGTATTCCTTGCCTAAGAAACCCCTATGAAATTCTTGGGATTGGTGTAAGTTGGTAGGCAACTTGAAGACATATACACAGGCTGTGCAAAAGCAACAACAGTGTTTCCGCAAATAGCCAAATAAAGATAAGAGTAAGAGTTAGGTAAGAGTATGGGGGTGGTCCTGGTAAGCCATCTCAAACTAATCCCCTGTGTGGCCAAGTTATAGCATGAACGATAGCTGCATTCACAGGGCAAAAATCTGAAATGTGAAAGACAGCATTACAATCTCAGTAGCTTAGTGTATAAGCTGTGCACTTCTCGGAAGAATGAGCAACTAATGTGAAGATGCAGCTAGACTGGAAAGAGGAAATCATGCTGGAAATAAATATGTCTGAGGGAAAGACCATAATTCAGTGAAAGAGGGTGTTTTTTTTTAAAAAAAAGAAATGCAATGAAAAATGTAACACATCTTTTCTGTCTTTTTCATTTTTAGTTTTCCTTTGAAGACAATCTTTTCCAATCAATGTACTACCCACTCCAGACTAAATTCCTTGATACTGTGCACACTTTATGTGGGCGAATTCCACAGGTGTTTTTGAAACAAATTGAGAGGACTATGAAGAAAGTGTATGAAAGTCGAGTGATTGTCAACATTGGGGCCAACTTCAGGTTGTAATTGTGGATTTTGATGTGATTTTCATAGTTTTATGCAACCTGCTTGAAGCATCTGAATTAACTGGATTATGATTTTTAAAGATACAATCTTATACATCTACTTCTGAGTAGACAGGTATAGGGTTGCATTGAGGCAGACAGTTGTCACTTAAAACTGTCAAGGTGTTCTTAAGGTTTAGTTTTAATGAGGCTGGCGATAATGAACATTGACATATCTGGAAAAAGTCTCAGAATTTCAACAGAAAACTTGGAAAATATGGATAAAGATAATATGACTTTTTCAAAAGATTGACAATTCCAAAGCCCTGATTATGGGCAACTCCAATGGAAGTCAATGACCTTTCAGCATGAAAAAAATATGATCACCATTTAATACAGTGGTGGGACCAATTCTCTCCATAAACGTTCCTACAGATCTGTGGTTCCCAAGCTGTGGTCTGTGAAGCACCAGTGGTCCGCAAGAACAAAAAAAATGGTCCGCGGCCTCACTGTTACTACACCTTTGCAACGAGAGCAGCTGGTCTTGTGAAACCCTCTTATAGTGCCGAGGCTTATTAAATAAGGTTTTCTTTGGGCAAGCAGAAGGCGACTACTGGATGGGATATGTTCTGTATCAGAAACTAGAGCTGATGTGGTCTATCCAATGCAATTTTCTGAATCAGCACCCCAAATAACCAAACCGAATCTAAAGTTGACCAAAAACTGATTCGTAACCCTTTTGGTAATAATGTTGGAGAATGGTCCCTGGTTAAAGTGATCCCTGGTCAAAGTGGTCCCTGGACAAAGAAAGGTTGGGAAGCACTGCTGCAGACCATTCACTCCCCACAGGAAGCCTTCCAACAGGAAGTATGGAGCCCTTGTGCATTTTCTTATGTTTTCATGCATTGAGAGACCCTTTCTGCATGGTTTGAGAGCAAAAATTGCCTAAAAGTATTGTTGAGTTCTAAAAAAAGCAAATTGGAGGCTGGGGCAGGGGATTTGTGGGAATGGTGTGGTTTTCCGGATACAAAAGTTGGTCCATACCACTCAATTTGCTCATTCCTGATTTAGTGTATTAACAGGGCTATTCTATACATATTTACTCATACATGAGCCTCATTTACAGTGAGAATGAGATGTGTATAGGGCTGTTGCTTGCCTTATTAAGTCTCAACTGCCCAGGAAAATGAACAGCCTGAAGTAGGATGATATAAATATTGGCTGAACACTGAATTTTTCTGTTCAGTTATGTAAGCCTTTAAAGTCATTACCTAGTATGTAAAAGTAATTACACACACTATACTTACAGGGACCACTTAAAATTTTATGGCAGAGGACAGGAATGAATGCATTCTAACTGACTACACTCTTTTTTTCTTAGACATTATAGCATTTTGGATTTGGTCACTTCTCACATGAGAGTTTGTCCTCCACTGGAACTACCAAATTAAATCAAACAATTGGCCACGTGGTTCACAACCATATGGATAACCCACAGGGGGAAAAACGCTTTGCAGTAACAGTCATGCCAGAATAGTAATTGATTATTAATTAAAGTATGAGTGCGACACATATAAAATGAAGGAAACATTATTGTTACAGCATGCTTGCCTTATAATGCCAATTTAGACAAGAGGATTTTGACCCTTTTGGTGGCAAAAAAGGTGATAGTGACTACAGCATGAATGCATTAGAAGCAAAATCTACCAAAAATGGTACCAAAAGTTAAAAATAGAGATGTAAGCAGTCCAAGCCCTTCAAGGTCCCCATGGAGCCAATGTGCCTCCCCCCAGCATATGCTAATATAGTAACTTGGACTTCTGATGTTGGCAACATCTTTCTTCCTTGTAGCATAATACAAGGATGAAAGTAAAATTTTTCAAGAGCTTGGACAGATCTGAGGATGTTAAGCTAGCGGTCTTTAGGGGTTCATGTATGCAACTGTGTTTAAAATAATGCTAGTGTTAAGGCTTGCTTGTTTAAATACGTTTATCTTGGAGCACGTTAAGAGGAGATACTTTAGCCATGTTTAAATGTTTGAAAGACTGTCAAGAGAGACAGCTTGAAGAGAGAACAAGCTTGTTTTCTGCTGCTCCAGAGATTAAAACATTGTGCAATGGATTCAAACTACAGAAAAACAGATTTCAACTAAACATTAGGAAGAACTTCCTGACAGTAAGAGCTATTCAACAGTGGGATATGCTGCCTTGGAGTATGGTGAAGTCTCCTTCTCTGAAGGTTTTAAATCACAGGCTGAGTGGCCATTTGTTGAAAGTGTTTTGATTGTTTATTCCTGCATGGTAGAATGGGGTTGACCTTTGTAGCCCCTTCTAATTCTATGATTCCATATTATCATTTCCAAATAAAAAATTTAGCTTCAGCTCCAAAGGCACTCAAATAACACCAAGGGTAAAAGAACAAGCAGCAGTGGTGTGCAATGCACGGCAATAACTAACTACCAGTGTTTCATCTACATAGTGTCATCTCATGTAATTTATTATCTCATGGGCAGGTGGGGGGGGGGGATAGGGAAGATTTCTGTCTGCAAGTGTTTACAAAGCAAATGACAAGAGTGCCGTTGGTGCCATTTCCTTTCCAAGGATGGGTAGTATTATGTGTAAAGGGCCAAGTAGGCTCTTCTTCCTTATGAAGACCTATTAGTCAGTTGTTATGGTGACATGAGACTCTGCGGTTATGATGCAACACGGAGTTAAGTGTCCTTAAATCCATTAATCTCAACAGGTTTAAAGTGTGCTTACATCTGTGAATGATTGCACCCTTTGTCATCTCTGTTGACAGGTTAACACAGCTGTTCTTCTGAAATTTGCCCTATATAGGTATTAGGGAGCGGGGAAAGGCTTCAGATTGCAATCTTTTATGGAAATACAGAGATCTGTGTTTGGAAATTTTTGAAAAGATTAAATCAGTTATCTTATTGCAGTGAAAACAATCAAGAATATTATGATAACTTTAAAAATGAACACATTTAATATGATGTAGGCTTTTATGGCTACATAGGCCACTGCTTCAAATGCATTAAAATTATTCAGATTTTCAGATAAACACAATGAGCTCAGAGGGCAATCAAATGAAAAAAAAATACTACTTTCATAATGACACTATTAACCCTGCCAATTAACAAAATAGTTGTTGCATATAACACAACTGCTTTGTGGTGATTGCCACGGTCAGTACTTTTTGCATGTAATTGCTCTCTGACCTTACAGTTTGACTTGGAAATATAGCTGAAATTCTGGACAACATTTAATGTGTCCGATGGCAATGGGTTGTTTTTTGCAAAGCCCTAGGAGCCCGCATTGTGCCTGTGGAATCCAAGGGACTGCAACATCTGCTGGAACTTGTTTTGAAATGATAAAAATGCCAACAAGACAGGTCTTTTTTGCCTTTAATATCTTTATAACTGGAAGAAATGGATGCTGCATCTCATTACCATACACTCCTTGCAGGAAATGCTGCATCCTCAAGAAAATTACATTCCTGCAATAGTCTGGTAGCTCTACTTTCAATATTTATTTTGGAGGAAAATACTGCTTGAAATGTCATACAGAAATACAAAGGACCCTACAGAGTTCTTAGCTGCCAGGGTTCTCCAAAGGTAGAATATCACTTCAATGATAATCTAGGTGGCAACTGCATATGTTTTATCCAATGGTGGAAACCACAATTGAGCCAGAAGGAGGTATGTGGTGCATTGGCTAAGAGAGATAGAATAGGTGAAACAAAGCCTGTAAGTACGCACAGTGTTGACAATAATACCAAAACAAAACCCCACACTAACCAAATGTGTAAGTATCATAATATGAATAAGGTTGATTGACATATAGTCCTGGAAGAGCATTAAATTTGTGTCAGGCAATGATCCCTGAGCTTATTTTTTTAAAAAATTCAATTGTGGTTTAGTGACCTCCTTGTTTAGTCTGGTTCTATGCAGGATTTAAGCTATTCTTCAAAATGCATAAAAATGTAATGGAAGTATGCTGGTTTCTTTGGGCAATTTATGGTGTGTTGTTAGGTTCCACAACTCTGGAGTCCCCTCCCCCCAAAAAAACTTGTTGATACTAAGACTTGACAAGATGTTTGAAAAACTACCTTCAAACATTGGGTATGGGCACAATGAGAAACACCGTCTGAAAACAACCCATTTTAGTCACCTTCCTTTCCTTTACAAATACGATCTGTAATCCATTCTGTGTATTCCAACTTCTTGTTCAAAACCATGCAGTGGTTCTCAATGTGTGGGGTCCCCAGATGTTTTGGCCTTCAACTCCCAGAAATCCTAACAGCTGGTAAACTGGCTGGGCTTTCTGGGAATTGTAGGCCAAAACACATGGGGATCCACAGGTTGAGAACCACTGCACTACAGGAACAAAACAGGGTTGGTTAATACATAAGAAAAGAACCAAGAGACTTGACTTTGTTGAAGTATTTTTATATTGTTTCATTTGTTTACAGATGTTCGTGTTTTTCATTTTTATAAGAAACCTTTTAATTTGATATATGAAGGAGTTAAACATAAAAACCTTTTTGCATAGTATCAATGGAATCATGCAAGAAAAATATTTTTGTTATGCGTTGTTATTGTGCATGTGCTTGACTGCAACTGGGAATGTTTTGAAACAATTGTATGCTTTTAAAATGTTTACTCATTTAATCATAATAATTTATACTTAACTTCCAGCACTATATCACATTTCAGTTTTAATTGCTACTTGCTATTGTATTAATATTTCATACCTATTGCTGATTTCTTTAAAATAGCTATCACTTTTTCTAAATAACTGAATATATATTTATATATGTCTTTCTGTCATTTTCCTCAGCCATATACATTACGATATTCTGGCCTAGCACAAATTTATAGGAAGGACATTTTCTATCTATTGTGACTAAGAAGGAAGAGAAATACAAACTAATATAAAACAAAGTCACAAGATGGAAGCACATGGGTTAAATACTGTATATGTTTCTAGCTAAAGTTTATTTTATAGCAATCCTGTGGTAAAGCCACAGTGTTGATCACCTACTTGCCAATTAGCTATCTGTACTATAAGATGCATTAAATGTAATCAGTGAGTTATACATCAGTGCTGCTTAAGCATCCAATACAGAGGACTGCCAATAAAGCAGGGACTGGCACCCTATTTGTGCCCATTGACCACAACCATTCCATCTTTCCTACAGACCTGAGGTGTACCATCACCAGTCCACAAATGAACACTTTGTGTAGCACTGTTGTATAGCATTCCAATGCTCATATTCAGGGCGATACGTCATGCGTGTCTGTATTAATTGCAGACTTCTCTAACTGAAAGGATCTTTGTGACATCTTAAAGCAGCAGTGTCCATTACAGACAGTATTGGGCTGTATTGATTGCTGTTATAAATCCACAAATAATTGCACATCTTTGGTTACAGAAAAAATGAAACTGAACCATATGACCACCTGTATTACAGGTAACACAAACTGGCCATTACTTTTTTTAGTCATGCTCAAAGGAAATCCTTTCGGAATCAGTGCCCCATTTCCCCAAAAATAAGACATACCCATAAAATAAGTCGTCGCAGGATTTCTAAGCATTTGTGCAATTCAAGCCATAACTCAAAATAAGACATAGTGATAGGAGTGTCTATGTAGTAAACAAGGTAGGCTCCCCCTGTCAGGTCCCAGTCATTTTGTGTGTGCTGCAAGCTGAGGCATAGAGGGAGACACAGAAGGTGAAATTAAAAGTCTTCTCAGTGAAGTGAGGAGCAGGACGCTCTGCTTTAGGTATTGTGTGTCCTCAGAGGGAAGAAGTAAAGTTGTGGCTGCCGTTTTACACATCACTGTAGGTCTCTTTCCCCCAGCACTGACCAGCAACATTCTGTGGGCCCCTCTCACCCCCCACAAACACCAGTAAAGCTGCTGCTCTCCAGCACTGACCAGCAACAGCCTGTGGGTCTCTTTCACCCCACACAAACACCAGAGGATAGGGGAAAAGCTTCACCAAGCAGTCTGCTACTGAGCCCAGAGAGATCATACCATAAATGCAGATTGTTGTACCATACTTAATTAAAAATAATACATCCCCTGGAAATAAGCCACAGTGTGTCTTCTTGAGGAAAAATAAATATAAGACAGTGTCTTATTTTCAGAGAAACACTGTACTAACTGCATTATAACTGTATTTATAAACACACATTTATTTACAATCAACCTCCACATTCATAGGTTTCTCTTTTGCAGATTTGATCATTCAGAAGTTTGTAGTTGCTGCTTAACTCTTTCAACTTCCTCACCTCACTCCTCCACCTGCCAAAAGTGCCAGCCCTTCATTCCACTTCCTACCTTCCCATCAAAAAAACTATATTTCTGTTGCCAGTCTTTAAAACCCTTTCCCCATTGACTCAATGCCTCCCACCTCTTCTGCTGCTGCCAGATTTTAAACCCCTTTCTCAAAGTGTTAGGCTTGACAAGAAAAAACTAACCTCTTCCTTTCAGCAGGAAATGGGTTTGAAATCAGACACCAGACAGAGAGGAAAGAGGTGGATGGTTGGGAAAAGCATTTAAAATCTGTTTGAGACTTTATGGTGGAAAAGGGGGTGACATGCCAGGTCTGTTGGTGAGAAAGGAGTCTGCAGCATGCATGTGTTTTTTGGGGGAGTCTTTTCATTCCCCCCCCCACTTTTGCCAAGGGTCTTGGGTCCCTAACCTCAGTGCATGGCA